AAAAAAAAAAAAAAACTCATAACTGTAGCATAATGTAACATAACACAGCAGTGATAAACAAAACTATAAACATGCAATTAGGCTACACAACAAGAGAGAAGGTTTGTCCAGCCTAGCCATCAGATTTTAAAACCTCATATCCCTTTCACCGTTCTGTCCTATGCAGAGACATCTTGGACTTTCAACAAATTTTATTGGCAATTGGCATTGCTAAATCACCTTAACATTAATCTTTACATGTATAGACGTCTAAAACAAGAAACTGTCCACGTGCTTCTCTCTCGACCTAAACAGAATCCTAACTGCAACTACATAGTTGCATCATTTGCTACTCCATCGGTCCATGAACCTTGTCAGTGTGAACGCCCTAAGGCAGATTAATTAATTAATTAATTAATTAATTAAACTCTCTAACTACTGATATATATATATATATATAAAAGATAAGAATTTATTTATACACAAGTTTTATATATCACAGTTATACAAAATATTAATCATTTATTTTTTTATTTTTAATTATTGAAATTTATTTACATTTATTAAATATTATTAATATTTTATCTAAAAAATCTTAATAAATCTTTATTATTGAAAGTGAAAAAATAAATGGTTAAGATTTTATATAAGTGTGATGTATAAAATTTATATATAAGTAAATTCCTTCTTTATATATATACAAATTGAAAAACATTAAAAAAATTTTTTTTTACTCTAACATTGTTATAATACATAGTACATATGTAGGAGCATATTTTTACTAGTTATTTAAAATAATGATTAGTATATATTTTGATTCAACATATTATACAATACACTTATTAAAAAATTATTATTTTTTATTTGAAATTAAAGGTAAATATATTTAAAAATTTAACCATACATACAAGGTGCAGAAACTAACTGAATTAATTAAATTTATATTATATTTTAATAACTGAATTGAGATGAATATTAAAAAATATATTAAATTGAATGTAGGCCAATCATGTTCTAGTTATTTATAGTAACAAAAAAAATACTATACAATTTAAATTGTATAATATACATTGTTAAATGAAAATGAATGCCTTATTAAGAAGCATCATTTCTGATTGAATGGTTAATATTTTGTGACTTTGATTATAAGAACTCTAATAGCTTGTTTTGTTCCTTCTTACCTAGAAGACGTTTTCGGGGAAGCCATACATAAAAATGACTCGAATATAGCTCAAGAAAGTAAATTTTCAGCACAAAAATCAACAACAAAATATAATTAATTATATTCTTTTGTAATTGATTATAATGTTTTAAAGATAAAATAATCAACTAATTAAAAGAAGTAATCGATCACACATTCTAAAATAAAACCTTTTGGGGTTTTTGAACATGAATGTTTTTCCCTCCACCATAATACATTATATTTGTTTATAAATTATTACTTTCCAAAATATCCAATTTATTTGTTATATAATCAACTACATTTCACTTCAATTTTTGTATCCAAAAAATTTTATTTCTTGACTCAAGCAGACTAAAAAAAGGTGATTGCTTTCCAAAATATCTTTCGAATAAGAGGCAACCAAAGAGGCGCTTAATGGTAAAAGATTGGAAGAAAACTCAATCAAGCATAGATATTTTTTTTTTTTTGTACTAATCTCTCAATATTCGATATCCACATTAAATTTTGATTAATCCGAAATCAAGTTACATCAAACCTCATAAGAGGGAAAGCTCTCTCAGCATTTATTTTTTCATTCACAAGACTTGAATTAAAAATTTTGTTTAATAAGAATTAAACTTCTTTCATTCGGACCAATAAATTATCGATCAATCAACCATGATTTTTGCAATAGATAAAGGCCATCTTTTGACCGCAAGAACTTACCTCCATATCTTTTGAAAATGACAAGATAATTTTCTTAAATTCCTTTAAAAAACAGAAAAAAGAAAAAAAAGAGAGATACTAACTTCAACTTACATCCTATATGGTGAAATTAAAAGATAAAAGAGAATTATGTCTCATTATGTCATCCAAGAGATAAGAAATTAAAAAAAAAAAAAAAAAAAAAAGATGATCTTCTATTATAAATACATGCTATCCCAAAGAAATGGTTTCTCATCAGTTCAAGTTCTCGAACTCTTACAATCTTATCAAAGCATTTTAGCCGACAGCAAATGGCAAAGATCTTTGAGAAGTTTGTTGAGAAAAATGACATTGATAATAAATTGAGGATTCCTAGTAATTCCAATTTGGAAGCACTTCCACCTTGCAGGCCTGGTCAGGAAGCAAAGTTGAAGGTTGAAGATGAGGATGGGAAAATATGGGAATTTACCTACACCATTCGGACTGAAAACAGGGCATTCTTCACCAAAGGTTGGCTGCAATTTGCAGCTAGCAAAGGCATTGAAGTTGGCAACATGGTCACCCTTTTCAAAAATGATGACCAACACCACTTCTCTGGCTGTGGTGCTGATCAGTACAAAATTACAGTGAAAACTTAAGAGAAGGGATCATTAGTTGGCCAATATTCTGTCCTTGTAAGTCTTTCCTTACTGTCCTTTTTAGTATAATGTAAGATAATGTCTTAGGTTGTGATGAGACCCTGCTCCTTGTGTTCTGTTTTTGTGAAAACTGCCGGTTTTTTTATGTGGTCGAAGATGATGTTTTTATATGTAAGGTTCCCTTTCTTGCAATCCAAATTGCTCTGCAGTGTAAAAAAGGGATTTTTCTTTGAGAAGATAACTCTCAATATCAAAATATTCATCTTCATTTAAGATCGAGTTAGTTTATTGATTTTTATATAATTTAAATTGCTTTATATATAAAATCAACCATCTTTGTATATGATTTTGCGATTAATATCGAAGAAATGAAGTTTTCATATTTTTCATTAATTTATGAGATTCATGAGAAAATAATTCAAAACTACTTTTTATTAGAGACGACAAAAAAAAAAAACTTTTTATTAGAGATATTTTACCTTTTTGTCCACGCCATTTCATGTTGAGAAGTTCAAATATGAGTCTAATGTGATGCGTTGAAATTATTTTTTTCTTTCAATGAATAAAAAAATTGTAAGATAATGAGTAACATTTCAATTCAACACATTCTTTAACATTTATTTAGTTTAATTATTAAAATATGATATAAATATAATTAATTTAGTTAATTTATGCATACTGAATATATAACTATATTTTTAAATTTATTTATTTTTAATTTTATATAAAAATAATATTTTTTAATAAATATATTATTTAATATATTAAATTAAAAACTACACTAATTAATTTTTAAAAATTTTACAAGGAATGCTCCAACCATTTACATGATATATTACAAGAACTGCAAAAAATAAAAATTAATAAAAAAAAAAAAAAAACAACTCAGCAGAGATAAAGTGACTTTTTAATTGCAAAATTGATGAATATTGACAACTATATTAAACAAAAAAATTGTGCTAACCATCCTTTTAGATAAAAAGCCGCAACACCCTGGCCTTAAGTTAAAAGCGTTTAGCACACAAGTTTGAAAAGATAAACCACTTAGAAAAATCAATGCATGGCGTGTCCAATTTACCGTGAATCTAAGCAACAGTTCTCTTTAAAATCATATAAAAAAATTGCGTCCTCATTCTAATTGCTTTCGTTGAAACGACGTAGTATATCATAAACCTACTTCATTCTAATTAACCACAATAAATAATTTAGTGATAATTTATTTATTAAAAATAAAAAATTTTAAATTTAAATTATATAGGATACAAATATAATGAATTAAAAAATAAAAAATAATTGTGAATTTGACTCTTTTAGAGGTATTAACCCTAATTTATCAGAATATATCAGTGGTTATTCCTTATATTTGTGGTATAATCACGTGTTAATAATTTAAATAGTTTAATAATTAATAAAAATAAAAAATATAAATTTAAGTAAAAAAATAAAAAATTTAATTTTCATTTTTTTTGAACAATTAGTCATGACGCAAGTCAAACCCACGTTAGGAGAAAGGATGCACCTTTTATTGTGGCAGTTGCCACTAACCCAAAGGCCAGGTGCAATATTTAATTTTTATTAAACAACCTAAAACAAAAAATATATACCGTATATATCAATACCTTCGTATTCTGACATCCCACTTTTATTTGTGTGTGAAAGCTTTGCATTTTTCACTAACTCGATTGTACGGACAATGCCCGCAATTTTCGGACGGCTGGTCGACAAGAACCTTCCACGGTAGTATATTCTTCATTTATTGTATTTTTTAATTCAGTTGTGCCTTATTTTGATGTGACAGTCGAACTTACTAATTTCTATTATTTTAGTCAAAATATAAACTATGGTAGCCGCACATGAAAGATACTGTAAATTATATCGATGGTCCCCTCCATGCACTCGTTCGACCTTGCATTATTAGGTAAAAACTTGCTTTGTAGTCCTTATTTTATTAAGTTTACAAATTTTAGTCCTTTATATTATATTATATTATTTTTAATATTTTATCTTATTAGATTGGTAAGTTTTAACCTATCACTTTATACTATAACATTTTTAGTCTATCATTTATTAAAATTAAAGAAAATAACCCTTATTTTGTAACATTTTGTTAGTTTTGTTAGTTGACTGTTAGTTTACAAAAATTTTCTTTTAACTAATAAAGTTAATATAACTAATTTTATAATATTTCATTAATTCTGTTAACTAACTATTAGTTGACTGTTAGTTAACAAAAATCTACTTTTAACTAATAGAGTTAATAGTTAGTATAAAGTGAGAACTATTTTCTTTGATTTTAATAGGTGAAGGGTTAAAAGTTATAAAATTAATAAGATAAGAGATTAAAAGTATTATAGTACAAAGAAATAAGTTAAAATCTTCAAACTTAATAAAATAAAATTAAAAATAGGTTTTTACCGCATTATTATGGGTCACGTGCGCAAAATCATTAATGCTTAGGCTAGACAAAACCGGGAACAGAAAGTTTAAATTTAGAATACCTTTGGTGGGTGAGGTTATTTTTTGGTACATGGTGGGTGAAGTTATTGTTACCGTTTAAAAATGTTGAAGTTACCTACATTTTTTTTTTATTTTTATTGCACAATAATAAGAGGTAATCATCTCCTATATCTTATTTCATTATATCTGTATATCATATGATTTGAATTTAAGATCCCTTATCTCCAGTGAAAAAAATAACTACTGAATTATTGAGTTTGTTGGCGAAATTAGCTAAATTTTAGATATTATTTTCAAATAACATTTAATATTTATTAATTAATTTTAATTTTTTAATTAATAAATATTAATGATTTATTAATTAATAATTATAATTATTAACTATATTTACCAATTAAATTAAATAAAGTTAATATTTTTAAAGATAATATTTTATAATTTTAGTGACTTTAAACATTTTTATTAGTGGCTATTACCTGACCTATGTTTGGTGGACATTGCCATGGCCAGATAAGTATTTGTTAGGGTCACGTTATGTTTGATTTGATAATTAGAAATAATTAACAGTTATATATGTTAATTGATAATTTATAAAATAATTTTTTTTTTGTTTGCACCACCCGATATTCAAAAACTCATTGGACCACCGACTAATCCGGATTTGAGCTGAGCAGGATCCAACAGGCAACAAAACTCTCTCTCACGAGTTTTAACAAAATTATATTTATAGGGTTTGAAATCAAAATCTCTGGTTAAATTGAAAAAGTCCCTTGTCAACTAATCAACTCGCTCGAGGTAATAATTTATAAAACAATGAATATTTATTATGGTATAAAATTTGAGTTCTGAAATTTTTTTATCATTTTCTTTTTTGATTTTCATGGATTCTTACGCTATAAAATTCAATTAAGCCAATTGATTAATTTTTTGGCCCTACATATTGCTAATCTATGCTAAATATTTGGCATTTTAAAAATGAGTTACTGATCAACGAACTGCCCCCACGCAGGATCGAACTACGGACCTTCAGTTTACAAGACTGACGCTCTACCACTGAGCTATAGGGGCTTGTTGTTCACTTCTGCAATATAGAATTTTCAAATAGAAAGTTTCGCTGATTAGACTACACATTTTAGACGTACAAGAACCAAATCAAATTCAATAACAAATACAGATGGATAGAAATTCAGAGTAAAAAGAGAGTTATCCTCTCATATAATTTATTATTATCAAATATATTATAAAAAAGTTTAAAAATAAATATAGACATGATACTCGATGAGTTTTGAATTTTTAAAGATTCAAGAAGATAAAAAAAAAAAAAAAAAAAAACTTCTCAAAGTTCCTTTCTTTTTATGATCCTCAAAGCTAAAATAAATAAATAAATAATAATAATAATAATAATAATAATAATGATAATAAAACAGGGACAAGGGTGAGATCCCAAGAGCAAAGTAATCATATTTACAGCAGCAGGCAAAGTGCTAGGTCTAATAACCAATGCCATGTTAATGTTACAGTAACTAGCTTCATCTTCTAGTCTTCATATTCTGTTTCTTCATCGTCCTTTTCGTTGTTCTCCCCATACCTCCACCCATCATCACCATTCTCTTGATCTTCCTCGGTTTCTTCACTGTCCTCTTCCTCAAATACCTCTTCTTTAAGAGGCCAAGGTTTCTTTGTCACATTCAAAGCCACAGGAGATGAAGTCGACACCTTCCGTGCAACTTTTGAAGGAGGCATCTTGGTAGTCGGCTTTGCCCTGCTTTGTTGTCTCTGACTCTTGCTAGTGACCCGTTTTCCAGCATAAGCATCTTGGTCACTGGCTTCATCCATCTCATTTTCAGCATTTGCTGCAGCATTCTCATCTGACACATGGCCAGGATGCTCTCTCTTTAAATGGAGTTTAAGCTTGTATTCATGTATGTAGGCCTTTTCACAACCCTCGTAAGGACAAGCATAAGGGCGATCAGCTGATGCTGCAGAGCCATAGCCACCCCCTGAAGACTTAGTAGCTTTTGATATCTTCTCTAGGGGTGTAGCATATTTTGTCGCATCCACTGCCGGATTCTGTCAAATTGACATTGTGAATAAAAATCAGAGTCAATGTTCATGATCAAGAAAATACACCATAAACAAATATTGCTAGATAAATCCATCTACTGAATGAAAACAGGAGGCCAGGCTGCCAGGGCATCTAGTTCTCTGTATGAAGCAACTGCTCCACCTCAATGATGAATTTGTCTTTACAAATGGATATTTGGATGGTTGTTTCAAAAACATATTTGGAAAGGTAATGCTTCTTCTAAGAAATTCCATACACCCCTTTATCAACAAATCTCTACAACCACAAGAAACATTCTACAACTGGTAAAGAGCAAAGATGAAATTTGATCAACAGAGATGCCTCATTGCAGATGCATTTTTAAGATGAGGAATATTACTAACCTTTTCATGCTGAGATGCAATGTGGTTTTTAAGCTTGTACTCATGAGCATATCTCTTTCCACAATCTGGATAAGGGCAGATATGATAGTTTTCTTGTGAATGTGTTTTCATGTGTGACCTCAGGTTAAAATCCAGGGAGAATGCCTGCAGATCTCATATTTGAATTCAGTTGGATTGCATATAAACGACCTAGCTATTTACAAACATACAAACAAAAAAAGTAAAAAATGAAGCAACAAAGGAATCAAAGAGATGCGAAGAAAGAATAAAATAAAAATTAAGTTCTGCATCAATCAGTGGATTAAGAGTTTATTACCTTGCCACAACCTTTAACAGGGCATACAAAATGTTTTTCTCCAGTGTGAATGAGAAAGTGCCTTTTCAATTTTGAACTGTCCAAAAATTTCTGCAAAATTAAAGGCATGGTGTCATCAAATCAATCCTAGATAAGTTCTCTATATATAATGCATGAATGTCTAAATAATATGTGAAAGAAAGAATTTTATGAATGAAAATTTGAATCGTATTTCAACCAGCTGTTTATAAATCCAAAGCATATCAGCAGATTCGCTTTGATATCTTCTGTTGTATCTCTGTGGAAATAAGGGTAACCAAACTAATAAACTTTGAAATTAATTATGAGCTTCAAGAATGATTCATTTAGTTCTTCATCCGCTTAGAACTAACCATATGATGTCTTGCTTCCAATTGCTCGTCTTAATACTTAAACACTCACTTTAAAGGGGAGTTCTTAACTTTACCATTTTTACAGAGCATTGCAAAACAGAAACTAAAAACCAAAATGATAGGGCAAAAAATTCAGAAAGGTTTGGCAAGATACCTTGCCACAGCCCTCATAGTGACAAAAGTATTGCCTCTCTTCATGGATGTGAGAATGCTTCCTCAAGGTACCAGCATCAATAAAGGTCTTGCCACAGCCTTCATAGCTGCAGAGAAAAAGAACTTCAGTCGTAGGCTCCAGTTCAATCTCTTGTGCTTCAGGCTCCTTTGCCTTCTCTTTCAAAGCCTTCAAGGTGTTCTCTAATCATAGCAACAAAGATGGGAGAAAAGGAAAAAGGTTAGACCAAATTAAACAATATCTGACCATTACTATAATTGAAAATTTATAGTCTTCTATGTTGCACAAACAAAAAAAGGTGGGGTATCATTCAAAAATCAGGACATCTTGGTATTTAAAATGTTATGATTGCATGTCAAATTATTCAATATCCTTACCATATGTTTGGGTTGAGGAGAATAGAGGGGAGAGGAATCTCTCCTCACCTCATTCGGACAAGTAAATAAATTAAAAGAAAAATTTCCCATCCCTTCCCCTCCAATTCTTTTAATAACCTAAACATACTGTTAATGAATTATTTATTTATTTATTAAGCATATTTAAGTCTTTTCATGGTAATTTCTGATATTTTCATTGCCTAGACGTCCTAATTTTTTGCAATCTACTCAATCAAAAGCCAATTTTTTGACAGAGAGCAAAGAAAGTAGAGAGAACAAAGAAACTAACCATTTACCCACTTCAAAAGCTTGCACCTTCCACCCGTAGCTACAATATCTTGAGGCACCCTATATAGAATTTTGATCATTAAACATCCTGGTCAAGAAATTCAAGCAATTCCAGAAAAATGCGGCTAAAGTTCAGTGTTTGGTAACCGAGAAAACGAAGGAAAAAGACAATGGGCATTAATATACTGAAAATGAAACCATACTAAACTGTCAATTGATCAAGGAAAGGAGTGGATTACCATTCCCTGAACCACTTCACAGCCGGAGTCTTAACTTTGGTGATGCAGCGTCTCTCGAGCAGATTGTGAACGCACTGCATCTCCATCTTTCCCCTTTTGCTATAACCTCCTATCGATTGCAGTAGAGAAGATTAGGATTAGGGTTTCGATTCATGAAATTAGGAAAAGAGAAGCGAAGGACATGCGTGTAGTTCTCTGTCTGCCCCTCCATTCCCTTCTCCTTCTCCTTCGTCGAGCTTGAACCGGACTGGAGCGGATCCCTTCGGATCCGACCTGTCCGCTTTTATTTTGATCATGGGCCAATAATGTTAACAAAATATTGGGCCCACTTTTATGGCCTGTTTATTTGAGAGACCAAAATGAAATGGAAAGTTTTTATAAGCAATGAAATTATTTTCTATAATACAATAGTTTAACAAAAAGGTATTTTATAATTTAGATTGTTTTACATTGTAAAATAAGAAGTATTTTATAGAGGAAGACTCCCAATATCAAAGGATTCTTCCCATCAAGGGATTTTTGTTTTATAATTTAGAACAGTTCAAACTATAAAAGAGAACATTTATAATTTAATTTAATTTGTTCAAATAAAACCACCTTCCCCTTCTCTTTCCCATGGTTTTCTCAGACGAAAGAGAATCCCTAAGGCTTCTGAGGCTAAACTGCACGCTTTGGGTTTAAGAGTTGTGCTTCTTCTTCTTTTTCTCTCTCTTATTGGATGTTTGGCTGACGCGGAAAGATTGCTTTTTATAAAGACAGGAATTTAAATAGGCAAAAACCCATCTTAAGCCGCTCAACTTTTTCGACAGCAAGTGATAAGCCCCTGAACTAAAAAAGTGGCAAATAAGCCCTCCAACCCCACGATGGGTGCAAATCAGCCCTTCCGCTAACTGGCTTCCTGACGCCGTTTGTCATCGGCTTGCGTGGCAC